GTGATACGTCCTGGTGCTTCCGCCCCTCCGGTTGTTCGCAACACACCGATTGGAACGTTAGGTTTGGCAATTGTAAGTTTATTTTTTCAATCATACACTAATGTTATGATTTCATCCAGTGGGATTACGTTAGGCAGTGTGTGATTGTCACTAACTGTCGTTGAATCCTATACCAAAGCGAACATGCCCTGCGGTTAATCACGATTGCATATCGTATTGAATAATATTTTGACTGATCTACGTACAAACTGATAAATGACTAACTATATATCAACACGGTTTCAGAGCTCTCAGATTGGACTCACTATTCGGTCTTTCCGAGGTGTCGCATATCGTAATGTTGGAAGCGAAGGAAACTCGCTAACNCGCTAACAAAACATAAATCTGGACGTTTGATTAGGAAGACCCACGTACGGTTCAGTGACCATTGAACTGTACCGAATCGTTCAGTGTAGCGTATAGCGTAGTAAAACACTTTGTTTCCGTGTGACGGTATGGATCCTTCTACTAACACTCGTGAAATCGCATTCGAGTTAATCACATGGTGAATTCTAAGGAAAACCTGTCGTGGTGGTCAGCTTACATGCTACCTAGGGGATGTCATATGCCTCTTTAAGTTGGTTGGGTGATTTGAATGTGAAGAGATCAGTACTCTCTCTGCATGGCGTCATTGTAGCTGAGCTTCTAGTGTGTGCTGTACAAAAGCCTGGGCGGCGTCGATGCGCAAGTTCGAATCCCACGGAGGCTACTGAACTTTTCACTATTTCAACATAAAACATCAATATGCCAAACAACAATTTGGAAAATATGGTGTTAGTCCAGTGTGCTTCGCTTCCTCACAAATTTCGAGGAAAACGAAATGTAGCAAACAATGCTTGTTTTCAGACATGACTGCCATATCCCTTCGAACCCAGTCAGTTCAGTTCAGTTCTTACAACCATTAACTGGCAATCGTATATCCAGTAGGAGGTGTATACGCCGCATCCTGGGCAATTTGGAATCAGGATTTGACAACTCCCGTAGCTGAGCTGGTGGCCGTTTAACCGGAGATTGGCTTTTCACCCTTTTAGCTCTCCAGTTAAAACACTCGATCTGTGCATGTAGTGCACTTAAAATCAGTTGGAGGGATGGATACCGGGGACACTTAACCGTTTAACAAAGCGCTCACGCACAACCATACATACGTTTGGGGTCGAGCGCGGGCTTCACAGATCTATTTAGGATTTATCGATCTATTAATTTTGGAATTCTGCGAAGAGTGACTGAATTTCCAAACCCTATGGTTAATTCAAAACCGTTTCCCCCTGAGTGTATGAGGAATTTTCTTCCCCTCTTCCGTCAGTAATAATGATAACATTGAACTAATGCTGTTGATTTTTATGCAGTTCTTGTGATCTAATTTAAATGTTATCAATCAGTTCATCATAATCTATTCTACAAAACAAATACATAAAAAAATGTAGTGAAACAAACTAAAAATTGTTATTCTCGCTATCCACTGCCCTCGTTTGATCCCCATTTCGCTCTTAGTTATATCCCAACCCCTCTGTTATTAATGTTGGTGCATGGACACTATGCTTATTCCCAACCAATCCGGTGATGCATTAAGATATCTATTCAATTTTCTAATTCCAATTTCGGGATTACATTGCTCTCATTCCAGTGCTACGATATGCGTTTTCCAGAGCTGTCCACCTATTTGCGTTACTCACAGAAGTCTGATGTACTCACCTATCCCGCCGCGTTTAGTCTGCCAACCGGCCAGGCAGGTCATTGGCACACTCTGCTACGAGCACGAGCTATTGAGAACCAGTGCTATGTGATCGCGGCTGCTCAGGTCAGTGCATGTTCTCGAGCCTATCAACTGTTTAGTTGTCATAGTCGTCCACTATTTGATGTGTGCATGTAGTAGCCTCTATAACTGCGCTGCATAACGCATTGGCAGACGCCTAACGGATCAATCACAACTATTGTCCATGTGTGTGTGTGTATTGGAACCTTATAGGGATTGCTAGACTCCTATTCAACCATGAAATCCCGTCTATCTTTTGCACTCAGTTTCATGTCGTGTTTTCGCTCTTTGTCATCCCGAACCGGCTTTGAACATTGAAAGGTTTTAGCTTTCTCTTTTTCAGTTAAGGTTAGTTTTGACTATCTGGAAGGCTTTTGTATCAACTTTGGGTCCTTACCTCCCTTTCTCCTAATCGTCTTGTTTGATCGGAATTGCCACCGTACAGTTTTTTCTCGAATTTACTCGCATTTATTCCAGGATTGAACCGACCCATTGCCGATCGGCTGTCGCTTCCGTCTGCACATAGATTGACTGATTACCACATCTCTTCTTTTAGAAATCAGGAAACCATTGTCACAATCCGGTCCAACAGATTGTCATTAATTATCTATCCTCCCGCAGTTTCATCATTGCCGTGAACACGTATACGGTGTGCGCCTAATAGATTCTTTGATTGAGCAGCTTCTGGCACATAATTTACTTTACTATGGCTGGCTCCTTGGAAAGGATAACCCAAATCCAGACATGATTATGATCATGAAGTCACTTGGGAGTTTGGTACGAGAGACGTCCCGAGCGTCGATCGGCGTTTTTTATTTTGAGGACGCACCTCTAGCATTTGCACAGCCAAATGCGAACTGCAAGGCATCAGGGAGTGCTCCTTCGAGTCGGGCGTGAGGGGGTCAGTGACTTAAGTTTTAAAAGGCCAGTAACATCGACCTTTGTCACAACACCGTCATTGGGCTTATGGGGCTTTTAAACAGGAGCCAGGTGACCAACGTGAAACTCACCACACCCTGGTAGTACCGCCNGTACCGCCACTGTTTGTTCGCGACTGCTTATTTCTTGTGGTATGCCACAACTTATTCACAGCTAACCTGGATATGCTAGGGTATCGCCCTAACCACAACCCGGGGACGCGTTTGGTAACATTCAGGTATGCTTAACCCGAGGATATCCAGGGCACACAATTTGATCCAAATGATAGTAATCTCGCCAGTACTTTGTGGCCGGTCTCTTCACTCACATTTGACGTGCAAGTGCACTTTCAGATGCGGCACGCATTTGGTTCAGAAACTGGTCCGATCGCTTGCCACCCCGTATGGGTTTTTGATCACAGCTACTTGAAATGAACAAACTTCCCTAATTGGGAAAT